TTTCGTTCGCCTTGAGAAAAGACGCGAAATAATATTGATATTACATAATATTGTAATTATGATGGCTAAACCATAAAGAAATCCCTTCTCAAGGAATTTGATCATAATTCAATTATATTACAGTATAGTAGAAGTTGTCTTGATCTTACATGAAGTAAAAACTTAAATATATTTTCAATTTGATTTAATTTTAATTTGACATGTAATTCAATTATTTCTGCACTTTAAGAATTAGTTTTCAAGGCGCATGATTAAAAAACAAAACAAATTTTGAAGAGAATATGCGCAGCTGATATCTGGAGAAATTTTTGACTCCAATATATTTTAAAATCGAAGAACGCGTAGATTAGAATAGGCAGAAGGATTTTTTGCATTTACGCAGCTTCGTCACCATAAAAAATTTTCTAAGTCCTCGTCATGCTATTAAATTCTTTGTTTCTCGAAAAATTACTTAACGGCCAAAAATTAAATAAATAAATAAATGATAAGGTAGAATCCGGATACTTTTCCGTTATTACATATTTTTTAATTTGCACGATAAATATCCTTTTGGGGAAAAATAATTTAATTTTTTCTATGCAATCTTTCCGATTTGCAAGATCAATTTGTGTTTCTTTTCTGCAGCACGACCTTAAACTTAATCGCTCCGACTTTGTGTTGACATTAATAAACAACATTTATCAACAACATTTAGGCTTAATGTCGCGACGACATCGATAAGCACCAATATATATATATATATATATATATATATATATATATATATCGATCTCGATTTAACTTTTTCTCTGCGTCTAAATTACGGATAGGAATTTTAATCCGCAAAACGAAACACGCGGGATTTAGCTAAATTCAAGTTCTGTCATTACGACTCGAGCTCAATATTGATATGTTTTAATTTAATTGATAGAGCGTCTTTTTGCTAATGTTAATACCTTCGCTGAATTTCAATCGGCGGACGTTTCTCGCATATATACATATGTATAGTATACCAATTAATCTGTGCAAAGAAGTACAAGAGAAAATACTGGCATTAAAAGCCGATCGCAGCAGGGAAGGATCGAGAGAAAAAGGGCATGACGGAATGGAAGAAGGATAATGAGAAGGGATGTGTAGAAGATAAAAGAATTCCGGTATGGCACAGGTTTATGAGTCAGGCAGGTACTAATAACGATTTCGAAATATACAAACATGGTCGCCTCGCGCTTCGTTTTTCTTCACGAGCATGTGTATGTGCGCGTGTGTGTGTGTGTTTGTGTATGTGTGGCGTATCTGGTAAAAGATTTACATATAATCATATAAAAATATATACATATGTATAATTATATATATGTCTTCTTCCTCTTGTATATCATTTTTGTTCGTATATACATATATATGCACGTACGAATAAAATATACAGGTAAATTAATAAGAAAAATCGGAAAATAATTACATACAAGGATTATTTTCGCATTGTTTCCTTTTTTTAAATAAAAAATAAAGTTTAAGAGAAATGAGAAAAAATTGTCTATATACAATCATATATAAAATCATATATATATAATCATTTTCATCATTATTATATATAATCATATATAAAATTATATATGTAATTATATATAGGATATTATACATATAATGTGATTGCAATTTTACTTTTTGTAAAGAAAAACAATGCAACAATTATTTATCTAATTATTTTTCGACTTTTCTTCTTATTATTTATCCTATACAATGGTGTGGAAAAGTTTCCGGACAGTTGTCAATTTTCATTCTGTTTTGGAAAGAGGAAACCAAGACGGATTGTAAGTAATATTGGATTAAAGTATGACGAGAAAGAAAGACAGAAGTACAATCAAGAAACATTTTTTTATTTATTATACATAACAAACCTCAATATATAATTGCCCTGTGCAAAAATTTCCATTTTTATACACATAACGAATCTCAAAGAAAACATTTAAAAAATGACAATAGATATCATTTAAATCATAATTAATATTATAAAATATTAATATCTCATAAGAAAGATCTTACAAAGGTAAAAATGTACGTCAAATACAAAAAACGCATCCACAAAAGTGTATGCAACATTAAATAAAGAATTAATTGTCCAAAAATGAATATGAGATCAATCTGTTATAATTAGCCAAGTACTACTGATAAATTTAATTCTTGAAAACTATTTTGAAAATATTGTTATATTGTTTCTAACTTCGATGGATGATTTGGATCATTATTTTTTTGCGTATAGAAAACAGAGTTATAACGTTTTCTTCACCGTGTTTCACCATTAAAATTTAACACCGTACATTATTTCTTGTTTCCAATGGGACGAATATTGTTGTTTATCATCGATCCAAAAAAATATATCATTTTCCATGCTTGTACAATCCACTGTGCATACTGTTTAGTAAAATGTAATCGAATATTTCTATTCTTCTAACTTATCAATGATTTCTTTTATTTCTTTTCAACCGAATAATCGAGCAATCGACGTGTAACTGTGCGGCGGCTAATATCAACTAGATTTTCATCTCGTATTTTACATAAAATCGATGGCAATCTTCTTTACATCAGTCATAGATTTTTCGATTAACGCGATCCTGTCCCGGCAGCAGATTTTCGAGGCCTTCCACTTCGTGGACGATTTTAAATACCAATTTGCTACTTTTTTATTATATCATGTATTGTCGGACTTTCCGATAGACAATATAATAATCCAATTTGGCGGATAACTTTGTCCATCTTTCGCAATTTAATTACGCGAAATTGTATTTATAATCCTGTGTTTTGCGGCATGCTTAGATCGCTTACTATCAACTCAATGTAAACATTGATGCGACATGTACATATACATATAAACATAATTATACACTTCTTTTGTAATACAACGTTAAAAGTATCCGGAAACTTTAGCATAGGACAATTGAGGTTTCATTACACACTGAGGTTTCTATATACTACTAATAAATAAAGAAATATTTCTCGATTGTATCTCTGGCTTTTTTCCTCCATCATATTTTAATCCAATATTATTTACAATCTGTCTTTCTTCTTTTCGAAGCGAAATTAAAATGACAATGACTGTCCGGAAACTTTTGCACACCATGTACGTGGACAAAGATTATACAAGAGAAAGAAAACACATATAGACATACTTTATGTATAATTATACATGATTGATCATATGTAGACCTTTTTGCAGCGGGTGTATGAGAAATAAATTAAATACATAGCTCGCGCTTTGATCGCACAAATTCCTGGCTTTCTTCTCTCGCAAATTTAACTACGGTAAGAACATTGTATTATATATATATACACAGGGTTATGCATTTCGTAAGAGTTACAGAGTACGATTAATATAAGATAGCGTGTTAGAGAGTCACACGTGCGTGTGTGTTTTTGCGCGTGTGTATACGCGTGTGTCAATGTCAGTGTGTCGGTATGTATAGATAAATCGCCTACAACGCATTCGTCGTAACGATTCGATTGGATCTAACTACGATCGATACTCGAAATGGGCATGTAAATTCATAGCGTGGAATTATTATTCTTGGGTCTAACGAGAGCGACGTTCTAGGCCCGACAGTTCGCGTGGACGGGTAACACGAAGAGGTGAGGATAGGATGGGCAAGAGAAGAGGGGTGGAATAATAGAGGGAGGACCAAGGGGGAGTGGGGAAACTCGACGGGGAGAGGGGAGGGAATATATATATATATATAACAGGAAATATATTTGAGTTTTCATTTAATCATAACTATTCATTAGAGATCCAATGTCTTCTCTCTCTTTCTTTCTTTCCCTTTCTCTCTCTCTTTCTCTCTCTCTCCTCTCTGATAATCTTATACTTCGGAATACTAAACTCTCAAAGTGGCGTCATATAATATTACTTCATTTTAAATTCATGATAATAAAGTCATCTATGCGTATGAGAGCTTAACTGCGCGTCAACGTGTCTCATACTATCGTGCGTGCACGCCGAAACGCGCGGGAATGCGCGTGCCGACGTGCACCCGCGACTTCGATAATAATACGTATATACAGTCTATCGAGAGAGAAGAATACGAATATATAACACGCGAACATATCCCCTCGTTCCAATTCGACGGCAATCGTTTCCCAAGTCACCTTCTGACATCGAGTTTTTTTTAAATTTATTTTCGACAAACTATGAACACATCAAATGAAGCTTTTCTTTACAAAATGCGAAAAATTTGAAATTTTGATTGTATTCACCGAAGTATGTTAACATGGCATGAATATAGTTTTCGGACAGTTTTTATCCTAAATTTACGTTCGCGTAAAATTAACGTGTCACTCCAATTCATAATTTATCATACTTGCTTATTTAATTTTAAGCGTTTACATGTGTTAAAGAGATTCGATTTACTAGTCGGTAATCGAAGTATTTAAGGGCGTGAATAGGTGTCGTGCAACGTGGTGCAATGTCGAATTAATTTTTCGCATAGAAAAAAAAAAAAGATCGACTACCGAATATTTGCGAGGAGTATACCCATGAATTTTCGTATTCTTCTTTCTCAATATCCTGTACATACATACAGGGAGTCTCTGGTCAGTCGCGCTTTTGACGATAAATATCGCGGATACGGTTGATATCGAATGAAAAGTTGGAAAAAAAATTCTCAAACTCAGCGGATACACCGCGTATCCCCTTATCAGTCTTCACGTGTTCTGTCAACCATCACACCGAATAAAACCTACTGTAAAGTTACGCTTTGTTTATTTCTCGCAGATCAGTCTCTCGCCTAGAGATTGTCACCGCTGTGAAATTATCTCGTGTACGATTCTCTTTTTAATTACCAATTGTATTAAGTATTATCGACCGAATACGCGATTGACTAGGAACACCCTGTATATACATACATATATATATACAATATATATATATATATATATATATATATATATATATAATCGCTACCTGCATATCACAACATAAATTTTATTCTCTCTTCGATTCTCTCTCTCTCTCTTTCTCTCCCTTTCATTCTCTCTCTCTCTCTCTCTCTCTCTCTCTCTCATTCGCTTCCATGTCCTCTTTCTCATTCGAACGCGATACATTCAATTTACGCAAGCATGCACACGATCCAGTCTACATAATTATTATAATGCTGCAGTACTGTGATAGTGGTTGAGTTTCTAAGCATTGTAGCGCCGTACCAGGGCGCGTCTCGAGTGTAACGCTTAGAACAGAATCGTAGCCTTTGCTACCTGGTTCCTCTGTCCCTGGAAATTCTATTCGTCTTACCGTGCATACACACGAATTCCTTATACGGAGGGGCGAGGGGGGCGAAACAAAACAGAGATTACAAACATCCACGCGATGAATGCGTAACTGTTCGCGTGTCACCCTCCTTGATCTTCGAAGCCGGTTCGCACCGACGGCGAGTGGTGATCTAACTGCGGTTTAACTAAACACGGATAGTTAAAGTTAACTGACGTTTAACTCTCCTAGAATCCTCCGATTTCGCTTCGCAAGATAGATGCGGAATTGAATTAAATTAATTTAGGTCAAGTCGAGGGCGAGTAATCGAAACTTAAGTTAACTGAAAAGGTTAACGAAAGTGTTAACTGACGTTAACTGACGAGTGTTGACCGGCTTATGGACTAACGTCTTTCCTTCTCTCGCAATATTGTAACTATACGGTCGTAATCTAGGAAAAGACGGGGGCGTCGCCGACGAAAATTTAGTTAAGACTGGTTAACTAAATTTACGATCGTTTCCTTTCTTCGTTCGATATTACAGCTACAGCTATGTAATCTAGGGAAATGATAAGGAATCCCTAAGCAAAATTTAATTAAGACTGCTAACTACATTTACGATTATTCCATTTATATTCTAACAATGTAAAACGCTGTAGAAATGAAGAAATATCGCCATGCAAAATTAATCCAGTGTAGTCAATAGAATTTATTACACTATTATATAATAACTTACTCGGAGTTAACTCCGAGTTCTGTTAACCAAAATTTTAAGTTAAGTCAATTAACTAATTTTACGAACGATATCATATTTCTTCTCTCTCTTTTTCTTTCTCTTTCGATATCATGACGCTACAGTCGTCAGTTAGAAAGGGACAGGAAAAAAATTAGTTGATTAATCCTCGATTTAAGCTGTTAACGAAATTTGCGACTGGTCAAATCCTTTTCACCGTCCGTCTGTATATCACAACAAGAGCCATAGCGTCCAATGTGACTAACACCGTTACTTTTAGTCGGAAGTTAGTCGACCATCGTCAATCGGCGCAATTCGGCCGAAGAGATCTCACGGGCAAGTTAGAGTTAATCTCGACATGCCGACGATGATCCGACCTCTCGTAACGATGCACGCTACCTATCCGCTCTTCTTCCCGAGCGGATTTCCCTCGCGAGTGCATATTGATCGAGCACGCATTACCGCCTGCCAAACGAACCGAAATAAGCGTGCGGCCCCCAACGACGTGGGGGAGGCGGGGGGGATTCATTCACCGGGGAACGCGTCGTTGCGGCGGTTGCGGCGCGCATCGCTATCCTGCGGTGGTCGTCGACAAAGAGGATATACATCGTGCGAGCGAAGAACCGCTTTCGCGTCCGACGATGTCCGTTTGTCCCTCGTGTGCTACACTGCTCACGAGCTCAGCCACTAACGGTTATACATCAGCACGAAATCTTAGAAACCATGGCTCAACGCTGCGCACAGGGTGAGCCCGAGCCCGCCCATGCCGCACGCCCATCCATCCGATCCACCACCGACGTCGGCGACGGCCACCGAGGACGACTTTAGAGTATGCAGCAGGAAGCCGAGCAGCAACTACTCCCGCCGCCTTTACTTTTTTGTCTCTGATCTGTAAACAAAAATAACGATTCATTCGTATACCCTCGCAATGCGACGTCCCGCCTGACGAAATTTATTTCGCATCGCAAAATCTGTACGAACGAGATATATATGCGCGTGTGTGTAACATCATGTACAGTCGTGGACACATCGGTTGCAACACATTTTTTTTATAGGTTTCTAATATATATTTAATATACATAATATCTATTTTATAGATAACTTATATTTTGCAAATGCGAAACACGATGTACTATCTTTAGTCTAGAGACAGTATAACACCAATCGTGGTCCCCATTTGCAAAATATTAATGCGTTTTGAAACCTATAAAAAAGAAAGTGTTGCAACCGATGTGTCCATGACTGTACATACATTGTATCGATAATGTAAAAAAGCTTTGCTAAATTATTAAAAATAACTCGTAACATGAAATAATTCTCCGATGACTGAAATAAAGAATTCATTAATCATCGCAAATTAATTTCTCGAGAAATCGTATTTTTCTTTCGAAAATTCAATTTGTATACATATAATAATTAATCATCTTTTCTTGTGCTTGCAGTTAACTTTGCGTTATTTTGAAACCGAGTAAATAAATATTCTTTTCTAAAAAAAAAAAAAGCATTTCAATACCTTTCTCTGTCATTTCATTTACACATTTTTAAAATAAGAATTTTATTTTTAATCAATGTACCAATATATGTATATACCAATATATGTACCAATATATGTATATTACATTCTTTTTATTTAAAATTTTTAATTGCTTTAATCGTATTAACCTATTATGTCCCGCTATGCGCTTTTCTGTTTTAAATCCGTAACTCGGATTCTAATTAAAATTTTTAGACCGCAATTGGTATATTAAGAAGTAAAAGGAATTGCTTTTTCCGAAAATTTAATTAGCGATGAGGTGAGATGTCTCGAAAAAAGACGTAAAGGTTGACAGTGTAGGTAAAAAAAAATAAGACTCCTGCCTTTTCACTGATAAATATTAAACTAATAAATGATTTCGTCTACCTTGTTGAATAGAATAAATCGATATAAATATTATAATATAATTATTATAATAATTCGAATGATTTATAATAAAAATGATGGATTCAAGGCAAGGAAAATGTGAAAGAGGGTGACAAAATTTTTTTCTTTCGAATTTCTATACAATTCGACTTTCTGAAAATTTAAAAAACAAAACTTTTACCCCCGTGACGATGAAAAAGAGTACAAGGAGATTACAAAATTGTAAAATAGAAAAACGCGTAGGGTCACCTAGAACTTAATGTATTAAAAAAATAAATATACTTTATATTTTATTTTCTAAAAGAAATATTGATTTCTTTATTTTACCACTATAAATTATAAAGTACAATATTGTTTATTATAAATTGGGATGCCAACTGGGGTTGAATTATTTTCACAAAATGATAAGATTAAGTTGTATGGATTTTTCCTTCATTTACATATAACTAATGTCCTTCTGTTAAACCTTATTTAAACTCATTTAAGCCCATTAAACCCCATGTCAGATTATATAATTATTATAAATTTATTTTGAGCAATAGATTCCATGTATATGTATTATGTTTCACTGTATTATATATATTTGTATTTACTTGTATTATATATATTTGTTGCGAAAACGTGTAACGGAATTGGAATTCGCGAGGATAGATGAGGATTGGGAAAACTCACGTTGGCTCAAGGATTAAGACGGTGTCTTTTAATTGATGTCATAATTTTCGGGATCATCGGGCAGGACATACATGTACTCACCGTTAGGTAGAATACCTAAAAAGAAATGGGAATAACCGCCGCTTTTTCTTTTATTATATTTGACGTAACAGCATACGCACTCAGTAAATCAATATCTTCTATCTGACAAAATCGATATCAGTCTTAAGAACAAATGAAAGAAAAGATATGTAAATAACTTCGAGTTATATATTAAAAATCTTGAAACTGAAGAGTGCAGATACAAGATATTATGTCTGAATGTTTTTTTAATACCATTAATTATTTTAAATTCATTTAAATTATGTAATAAATTTGATAAACATAAAATGATTATCAATTATTATTAATAAATATGTGTAATTATATTAATTAAGATATATCGGACGTGTGATTCTAATTGTAAGTTTAAGTAATAAATTAAATAATTAATAAATACTTAAACAAAACGTGCAGAGCGAAGTAGTAAAGATATAATAATTTAACTTTTTCCCACTTTCACTTATCGTATGATCGATTTATTTTTAATTGTCCGAAAACACGCGGAAACAAATGATGCATTTCCTATAAACTTTGCGTTGCCGATGCACAAACTACGTGAAAAAGGCAATTTAGAAAGCAGGAAACCTCCACTGTGCTGTAAAGTTGCAGCGTATTGTTACGAAGTTGCACAATGCATCGCACCTCGACGATTATCTTCTCCGTTGATCAAAGCTGATTATTAACTACCTGCCCGTGTTTTATCCGTCGCGCTTGCTGTCGCATCGATTAGTAATTAGCCAGTAAACGAGTTGCGTGCGATAAAGTTGATGTCGCGAGACACAAAGAAAGAAGGAAAAAGGAGACAAACTGCCGGATTTTAATCAATGTAACGTATAATAATCGTGCGATTGTTGCACATTAATTAGGAATTGCGATTAACAATTCACCGGAAAAGCTCGCAAAAAAAAAACGGAAGTACGAATACCGGAAGCGGCGGAGAAATTACTAGGGAAATGCAGGGAGTTGGCAATGCGAGGTACGCATTTTATAGAAGATTATATATACACATATATATATATATATATATAAACTTCGTACGAATAATCGCATTGCACAAGAGAAATTCAGGCCCCTATTATTTGATGAGACGATTGATTATGCGAATTAATATTCCAACTTTCACTCGGTTGCACAGTAACCTGTGTGAAATCGATAGCGATACACGTGACGATCGCGACGTTCAATTTATCATTACACTTGTACGCGAGATAAATACAAACACCAGAAAGCGCATATAAAATACAGATTTAAAGAAGGATTTCAAAGAAATTCTTTTTTGTTGCTGGTTTGGCAAAAATATCAAGTAATTTCTTAATTATAAATCAAAAGTGAAAGATTTTTGTCAAATTAAAGAGGTAGGAGAGACTGAGGCTGGTTGATAATT